TAAGTCCGGAGCTGCCTGCGTCCAGCTCCGGCAGGAGGAAGCTGGGCACAAGCCAGAGGGCAGGACGCTGGCAGCCGCCAGGATGCTGGCGTGAGGTGGTGTCCTGACATCGTGGCCGGTGTCTGCGGGATTCAAAAAGGCCCCAACAACCTCACAAAGTGGAAGCAGAAGCCAGGTAGGGCCTGTGCCGGTGCTGTGCTGTGCGGAGAGGAGGAGAAATGGAAAAATATGGGGAAGAGGCTTGTGTGGAGGGGAGGAGAAGGAAGGGGAGGAGGGGAGGAGGGAAAAAGAAGAAGAAAGGGGAAGGCACCAAGAGACAGGGATGCAGGAGAGACAAATCTCAGGGGGCCAAGTGCAGACAATGAGGAAAAGGGCAGGAGGGGAGGTTTCAGTGGGAGGGGGAAACAGGGTGATGCTGGGAGAGGAGAGAGTAAGGGCACTAGGGGCTAGAGGGGGAGGTGCTGGGAGAAGGCTTGAAAGAAAGGGTGGGCATGAGGAAGGTGGGGATGGAGCAAGGCATGTGTGAGGGCACAGGGGCATGAGGGAAATGGGGGCAGAGGGCAGTGAGGAGGTGGGTATCAGGGAAAAAGAGGGCAAAAGGGGCAGGGGCAGTGGGCCCAGGGGAGAGAGGCCGGGCAGGTGTGTAGAGGGAGGTGTTAGAAGAGGGGATGAGGAGGGGTAGCTCATATGATCAGAGTGGGGCAACTGGAGGATTGGGCACAGGGGAAAGAGAAGGGCTGGTGGAGGGGGGCAGGTCTCAGGAAGACTGAGGGCAGTGAGAAGGGCAGAGTCAGGACAACAGAGGAGGGTGAGGGGTTGGGGGGCAGCAGGCACCAGGGGAGCTGATGGAGCAAGGGGAGAAGACATGCCAGCAGAGGGAAAAAGTAGAGGTTTATAAGAGATTTATTAATAACTTGGGTGATATTTATTAATAATTTATTAGTAATCACTCTTCTTATTCTTATTAGGAATTTATGCCATAAAAAAAACACTTTTTGTGGGGGAGGGTAGCGAGTCCCCTTTTTGTCTGGCGAGTATGAGATCAGAAGAAGATATGCAAATTCCCGTGGAATTTGAATATCCTCTTTCGAAAATGCAGTGTAGTTTAGATGTACCCTCAGAGAGCTGATAGCCCTATCATGTGACTAGAGAACAAGTGGAGAAAAACTAATAGGATGTGAGGAGAGAGAGAACAAGCAAAGGTACAGCATATGCAGGAAGTTAGGCTACATTATCATAATGGGCTTTCTGACCATAACATTTCTTCAAAGGCAAGGTTAACAGTGGTTTGATTCTAAATCACTCTGGAACCCACCCCACCATCTTCCCTTCAGCAGGTCCCTTATCCTGCCTTCCTAATGCAGGAGCCAGCTCCATCCTTGGGGCAGCTGGTGTTGGCTGCCCAACTGCTTCCAGGGTGGGCAGAGCTCAAGCCCCCAACCCTGCACTCTCCAGGTAAATGTCCTATTGCACTCCAGAACCCACCCCACCTCCTGGGCATCCCTTATCCTGCCTTCTTAATATAGGAACCAGCTCCATCCCTAGGGCAGCCTGTGTTGGCTGGTTAGCTGCTCCCATGGTGGGCAGGGGAGGGACTTGAGCCCCCAACCCTATACTCCTCAGAAAAATGCCCTAGTCCCTAGGCCACTCCAGAACCCAACCCACCTCCCTAGTTTCAGGGTGTCCCCTCCCACATGCTGAATCCCTTGGCCCAAGACCAGAGCTTGCACCCTAATCCCCTACCCCAGCCTGGTGAAAGTGAATGAGATTCAGGGAGTGAGCAGGATGAGGCCTTGGAGAAGGGGTGGAGCAGGGTGTCAGCCGGTGGTCAGGGCAGTGAGTGGTGTGTGTGTGTTATACACCCGAGACTTAAACTGCTAGGACCAGGGTCCCTTCACAGCGGGCAACCTGGAGAAGGTTGACGGGCGCCCCAAGAAGTTTTACATCCATGTCTTTGACTGCTAGGACCAGGGTCCTTTTGCAGCGGGCAGCCAACAGGCTGACAGATGCCCCAAAGTTTACAGGATCCACCTCCCTAGTTTCAGGGTGTCCCCTCCCACATGCTGAATCCCTTGGCCCAAGACCAGAGCTTGCACCCTAATCCCCTACCCCAGCCTGGTGAAAGTGAATGAGATTCAGGGAGTGAGCAGGATGAGGCCTTGGAGAAGGGGTGGAGCAGGGTGTCAGCCGGTGGTCAGGGCAGTGAGTGGTGTGTGTGTTATACACCCGAGACTTAAACTGCTAGGACCAGGGTCCCTTCACAGCGGGCAACCTGGAGAAGGTTGACGGGCGCCCCAAGAAGTTTTACATCCATGTCTTTGACTGCTAGGACCAGGGTCCTTTTGTGGCGGGCAGCCAACAGGCTGACAGATGCCCCAAAGTTTACAGGGGGAGCTTATTACACCTCAGACTTTAACTGCTAGGATACAAGGTCCCGTTGCAGCGGGCAGCCTAGGGAAGGCTGAGAGATGCCCCACAGATCTGTCCCCTGGAGGCAACATGATCCAAATGCCCAGTTCTCCCTATATCTGTCCCTTATGACTGGCTGGAGTTCTTTTTGTTTGTGTTCGGTTCGGGTACAGCAGCATAGGTTCAAGTCAGAAATTTGACATGCATTTACTTATTTGTAGGAGAAAGAAAGAAAAGGAAAGAAAATTGAGTTCAATATATAAAATGAATGAGGGCACCAGCTTATTTTTACTATAATTTAGGCAGAGGTCCGAAAGCAAACCGCGGCGATTTGATTGACAGGAAAATGATTTCTCGGGGCTTAAAAAATGGCTGCCCAATTTATGAATGAAGCAAAATGGCTGCTGCACTTTTGATTGACGAGCTAATGATTTTTCTGTGGTCTGATTGGATAATTGCTGACCACAGGTCTCCAATGAAACAAAATGGCCACTTGGAGTGCTTCAATTAAGGAGAAAGTTTTCTTAAGTATGATTGACAACTTAACAAGATACCAAAGTTTACATAGAAGGGAACGGCAGTTCTAATAGAAGTTAGTGTTTATTGCAGTTTACAGGTAGATACAAAGACTCCCTGCGGTTTGATTGACAAGTTAATTGGGTTCCGCAGTTTATAGCTAAATCACATTACCAAAGGCAGTTTTACAATACAAATGAAACAGTTTGACTTTAAAAAACTATAATAGAGTAACTAAACTTATAACATAGTAACAATTAAAGTGTACACATAAAGAAACACCTAGCAGGTATAATTCTCACCCCTGCGTTCCAGACTTGGCGTGGCCAGCGTCTTTCTCTCAATCCCTCAGGAAGAAGTAGGGCAAGTTTGGGCGTCCCACGGACCTTGGGAGACAATCAGTACCTGCCAGCAGGTGTAGGTGATTGGAGCTCAAATGGGGTGGGCTACTAAACCCCTCTTTATACCCCTTGGGTCACGTAGGCTTCTTCCTGGTCTCAAGTGGCCAATTAGGAAAAATGGCTTTGAACACCAAGTTTCCCATGAAGGGTGCAAAGACAATGGGCACCTCTGGTATGTGATGGGTGAAGATTCCTCTCCTGAGACAGTGCAGGCGTGTCAATTACTGGTACTAGCCATCAGGGCGGCAGGAGGCCCCGGGTCATCAGCTAGCCCATTTATTGTCTGGTTTCTGTTTATGTTAGAGTCAGGGACAGGCAGCACACCTGCGTTCCCAGGGCATCAAAGGCTGACTTTCTCTTGCTCTCGGGGCGGGGGAGAAGCAAGATGGGGTTCATGTCTGGCTACAGCAGGGGAAGGGCCTCAGAGAAGGCAGGGAAGGAGGCCGGGCAAGGGTATTTGTGTTTGAGGTAGATGTTACATAGCACTTACATTGAAAAAGTGATCTCTAGTTAGTGGTTAAGAAGTTGGAGTCCGCTGCTCCTCTCCATCTCCACTAGGGCTGTGTCCAGACTCAGGGTTTTTTTCGAAAAAAGTAGCCTTTTTTCGAAAAAACTTCCTCTGCGTTCAGACTCAAGCCGCATTCTTTCGAAATTAAATTGAAAGAACGCGGCTTTTCTTTCGATGGAGGTAAACCTCATTTCTTTCTCTTGCTCTCGGGGCGGGGGAGAAGCAAGATGGGGTTCATGTCTGGCTACAGCAGGAGAAGGGCCTCAGAGAAGGCAGGGAAGGAGGCCGGGCAAGGGTATTTGTGTTTGAGGTAGATGTTACATAGCACTTACATTGAAAAAGTGATCTCTAGTTACTGGTTAAGAAGTTGGAGTCTGCTGCTCCTCTCCATCTCCACTAGGGGAGGGGCTCTCTGAGGGGGGTAAGTCTGATTTAGCATCTGGCTGCAGAGCCTAAGAAAAGGTGCATCCCATAGAACAGAAGACTGACAGCCAGAAGAGAGCTGCTGTTTCTGAAGCCTGCCAGGCTCTCCTGTCCCCATCTGAATTCTGGTGCTCTCTTGTAGTTCCGTAAAGACGGTTTCCTTGTTTTGGAAGAGTTTTGCACCACAGAGGAATGTGATGCCATGAGGGAGCAAATCCACAAGATTGTCTCTGAGATGGATGTGCCACCCCATTGCCGTACAGTATTCTGCACCAAAGAAGAGGAACAGCTCCATGAACAGGTACAGATTATAGATAATTCAGATAGATCAGGGATGGGCGAGTTGTGGCCCAGGGTCTGGCTTGCCTAATACTTTGATCTGCCTAATACTTTGACCTGCAGACTGCATCTGGCTGCTTTATATTTATATCCTGCTGCCCATGCCGTCAAATTTCCAGACAGTGGCTAAGGCAGCAGGATCCTTTTTTAAATGACTCTTGGCTGTGGCACTACTCTGGCAGGGGCTGGAGCTGTGAACCCTTTAAATACCGGTAGTAACATGGGTGCCTGCCAGGCAACATGGTAACAGCAGGGAGCAGCGAGCCCTTTGCTATGTTTTTAATTCAAAGCCTCCTGTCACAGACCAAGCTTGGGGGAAGCTAGTCCCCAGCCCTGTGCCTTCCACCCTAGACCCTTCCAGCGGTGGAACCGGCCCGTGTCTACCTACCAAACTTCATTAAGTGGCCTCCCTGTGAAAATTATTGTCCATCCCTGAGATGGAGGCTAGGAGGGGCAATCCCATTTAATTGCTTAACTGGTTAAATGTGATGTTTAACTGGTTAACTGATTAAAGGGGTAGTGGGCGGGGGGCCAGAGCAGCCAGCAAGAGCTGCTCTACTGCAGGTGCAGCAGCCCCTGCCTGTGACATGCTCAGGCTCACCGCAGACAGGGGCTGCTCTGGGCGATGAAAGCAGCCTCTGCCTGTGATGTGCCCAGGCCTGTCACTAACACTGTTAAGGGTGATGCTTACCGGTTAACCTTTCACATCCCTAACTATGCTAGTAATAGAAATGTAGCCGTGTTAGTCTGGTGTAGCTGAAGCAAAATGCAGGACAATGTAGCACTTTAAAGACTAACAAGATGGTTTATTCGGTGATGAGCTTTCGTGGGCCAGATCCACTTCCTCAGATCAAATAGTGGAAGAAAATAGTCACAACCATATATACCAAAGGATACAATTAAAAAAAAAAAAGAACACATATGAAAAGGACAAATCACATTTCAGAACAGAAGAGGGATGCAGGGGAGGGGAAGGAAGGTAAGTGTCTGTGAGTTAATGATATTAGAGGGGGAAAGGTAATGGTATTAGAGGTGATCATTGGGGAAGCTATCTTTGCAATGGGTAAGGTAGTTGGGGTCTTTGTTCAATCCCCGCCCCCCCCCGGAGAGTGTCGAATTTTAGCATGAATGATGTGAGCTAATGGTATTAGAGGTGATAATTGGGGAAGCTATCTTTGTAATGGGTAAGGGGAGACGAAGGACTAATTTGCATGAGTCACAGTCTCATTTGCATATTTTCTGCTGATCCGTTTTTTTCGCTGGTGTTTTTGTGCAAAAACAAGGGGTGTGGATGTTTTCTTTTTGTGCAAAAACTCCTTTTTCTGCAAGATCCTTATGCCCCAAAAAAGGAGTTTTACTGATGTTGTGGAAAAAGGTTTTTGAGCAAAAAGAAAAGGTCCACGCTGCTTGTTTTTGCACAAAATCCCCAGTGAAAAAAATGGATCAGCAAAAAATATGCAAATGAGATTGACTCATGCAAATTAGTCCCTCGTTAGCATACTTTTTGCCAAGAAAACTCGTAGTGTAGATGTAGTCCCTAGGGAGATGAAAGTAACTTAAATTTCTTACAGAAAAAAACAGCAAGCAAATGGTCTGGTAGCACTTTACAGACTAACAAAACATGTAGATGGGATCATGAGCTTTTGTGGACACAGCCCACTTCTTCAGATGACCGGAGTTATGATTAGGGGATAAGGAAACTCAAAATAAATAGGAGAAGGAAAGGGGGCAGGGAGAAGAAAGAAGTTCTGTTGCCCATCCCCCTACCTCTATGCATAAAGTATCAGGAGAAAGGGTGATAAATCTGAGTAAATAAAGATCAAAGTCTGTGTCTCAACGACTTGATTACCTGCATCCTGCTTCAAAAGTATTTTAACACCAGACTTGAAAGAGAAACCTCTGAACTGTCATTCATGCTTAAAATTGACACTTTACGCTGGGGTCTTAACAAAGACGCTAATTATCTTACCCATTACAAAGATAGCTTACCCAATTATCACCTCTAATATCATTAGCTCACAGACATTTACCTCCCCGCCCCATCTCCCCTCTGTTCTGAAATTTGATTTGTCCTTTTTATATGTGTTCACTTTTTTTTATTGTATCCCTTTGGTATATATGGTCATGCCTATTTTCTTCCACAATTTGATCTGAGGAAGTGGGTCTGGCCCACGAAAGCTCATCACCTAATAAATCATCTTGTTAGTCTTTAAAGTGCTACATAGTCCTGTTTTTTGTTTCAGCTAGACTAGACTAACATGGCTATATCTCTATTACTAATCTACATGTTTTGTTAGTCTATAAAGTGCTACTAGACCATTTGCCTGCTGTTTTTTTCTGTAACAGACTAACTTGGCTACCCCCTGAAGCTCCTTACATTTCTTACAGGCAATGTCATATTGCAACCCCCCTTGTGGTAGGGCTCAGGGCAGGGAATTGAATTCCTTTTCCACTGCCTTGGGCAACATGTTGTAGGTGATCTCAGCAGAGACCAAGAGAGAAATGGGTCACAGAGACTGAAGAAGAGTCATCGCTGTGGAAAAGGGCTGAATGTATGAGAACCTTTGTCTATTGTAACAACCTATAATATATTTGTTCCACGGATAGACTATCAGGTCAACCCTTCTCACTAACCAAACCAAGGTACCTCTGTTCACCCTCTACTGGGTGGCTGCAAAGGGTAAGCTGGAGCCCAAGAAGTTTAGCGCACTGAAAAGTTTCCATGTGAACTACTGATGTTTTTATTCTTATTCTTCCTGCTCTCTTGACAGGGAGAAGATGCAGCTAAGTGCTAGCTTCTTGCTGGAAGTGTTCACTTAATATATCTGCTAGTATATATTACCATTGTTGGGTCTCTCTTGTCTCCAACAGGGCAGTGCAGATTATTTTCTAACGAGTGGAGACAAAATCAGATTCTTCTTTGAAAAAGGAGTTTTTGATGAGAAAGGTAAAATCTACCTATCATTTGCTACAGTAGGGCGGGGTGCATGGGAAGAAATGTAAGCAATCTGCTAGCAAGCCAGAAGCTTTCTTCAAGGGACAAGGTGGCTGAATAACTGTTTGGGGGAGAAGGGAATTCTCTATTGTTTACTTTTTGATTTGATGCATCCTCTCTAATTCAGTGTTTTATTTTTAGGTGACTTTCTTGTGCCAAAGGAGAAATCTATAAATAAGATTGGCCATGGTATGTATGAGCTGCAGGGCTTTTGGAGTGAAAAACTGGGGTGTATTTTCCAGAATGAAACTTTCCTTTTGACTTGGCTATTATCAATAGTGGTGGCTCTCTGCAAAAAAACTCTTCTCCTGAGTTAATGTTCTAGCCAAACATAGAGGCTGTGTCTACACTGGGCCACTTATTCCGGAAAATCAGCCGCTTTTCCGGAATAAGCTGCGAGCTGTCTACACTGGCCCTTCAATTTCCGGAAAAGCAACGATGCTCTACTGTACAAAATCAGCCGCTATTCCAGAAAAACTATTCTGCTCCCGCTTGGGCATAAGTCCTTATTCTGGAACACTGTTCCGGAAAAGGGCCAGTGCAGACAGCCCAGTAGTTTTTTCCGGAAAAAAGCCCCGATCGCGAAAATGGCGATCGGGGCTCTTTTCCGGAAAAGCGCGTCTACATTGGCCACAGACGCTTTTCCGGAAAAAGGGTTTTTCCGGAAAAGCAGCCTGCCAATGTAGATGCTCCTTTTCCGGAAAAATTGAAAACGGAATAGTATTCCGTTTTAAGCATTTCCGGAAATTCATGCCAGTGTAGACACAGCCAGACTGTGCCCACAATATTGTTACCACTAAAACAAGATGTGGATTCAAATTGTCTGGCCTTGTCTACCACCTACTCTTCCTCTCCATTCTATTGCTTTTGCAGTGCCCCACCCACTGAACACGTTGTTGCAAAGATCCTCCTACTGTGGCCACATCTTCTTTGCAGCTTTGTGCTGTCTCCTGTTCTCACCAACATGAGGTTCAAACTCCTCAGATTTAACTCTAAGCCTTGGCACAGCTTCCCCCCACCAGTGCCCACATATCAGTTTGCTGCTCTCTGTGCCTGCATTGCATTCTTCTCCACTCATCTTTGTGCTTCTGTGTTACCTCAGGCCAGGAAACCTTTTTCCTTTGCCAAAATGCTTCTCGTTGCCCTTTAAATCCCTTTTCAAAAACACTTTTTCCACTAGGCTTTTCCATTCTAATTTTAAAAAAGAATTGACCTCTATTGGCTGAAGTTCAAACCTGTGTACTTCTTATGCAGTAGATTGTTTGAGCTGTACCGTCTGTGTCCAGTCTAGGTTTTTAAGTTCCTCTGGATAGACTGTACCTTCTGTTTTCTGAGAACACGGCTGGCACGTAAGCTCTGATTCTTTGCTGTGACATTGTCAGCAGCTTCTCAGTTTTACAGGTTTCCACTTTGTTCTATTTCCTCTATTCCAGTTTCTAAAGAACTAGCTGAATCCTTTTTGTTCTCAAACAATACCCAGAGAAAACATAGCAGGGTTCAGTGTTCTACCTCACAAACCCAGGAACCCTGCCCAGATCTTTCTCCATTAAAGCTTGGAAATCCAGTATCTGATCTCAGATTCCAGCACTTCCCACCCACTCTTTGTCCTCTACTGTGCTGCAAATGCTCCTTAAAGAGGAAACGGAAAACAGATATTGTATCCTCCTCACTCAGGCTTATTTGCAGTTCCAAGAGAAGGACTCATTTAGCCCTACTCTGCAATTTAGTCACTTATTTTCTTTCTAGCCACCTCATTGCTCTATAGCAGTCCTTGTTGGGATGAATAAGCTAGCAGAACAGAACATTCTATTATCTTTAGAAGTGAGTCTGCATTTAATTTGCTTCCAGGTTAAAATCTCTAGGGCAAGCTAAGTCATTCACAGCTCACTGACTTTGTGCTCCTACTTCTTAATTAACGTGAGAAATCATTGATGCCCCATTTTTCATCTTTGCATTTTTTCAACAAGCTGTATTCACATTCTAAGAACTGTAATACTCTGAGGGACATGTTGAGCTATTTGACCAAGCTTGTGAGGCCCAATGCTCAACTTGATGGTATTTCTGTCTGTAATGTGACAACTTTTGTATGTAACTGATCAGTTCCTTTTCCAGGAACGCTCTAGGCTTCCATCACCAGAAAACTGCCAGGGGGAAATGCGTACACAGAGGGGGGCCCTGCCATCTTTTTAGCAGTTACAACTTCTGGCATTGTCTATAGATCAATCAATAGATTATTGGCATGCACTTATGTATTCCACCATAGCAATAACTCTGTTTCACCTGTCACTGTGTAACCCACACACCTAGTCAGTGTGGGTCACTGTCCCATGTAGTGGCACTTAGACCACTTACAGCAAGTAGTAAGAACAAATGAGCTCTACAGCCTAAGCTGAGAGCCAGCTGGCTTCATAGCTCAAGCTGTAGAGGTTCCTATGCTGAGGGCCCAGGTTCAAATCTCCCTGGTGGAGATTACAAGCAGGGGCTTGTCGGATGTGATTCCTCGCTAGGGGAAGTATGTAACCCACACACCTAGGTTACATCTACACTGCAAGGTTTTTGCACAAAAATCTGTGGAGCATCCACGCCTCAAATGCACTTTTGCACAAGGAGATCAAGAGTAAAATGGCAGAACAGAGGGCTTTTTCCGTCGTAGGTAAACCTCCTTTTACGAGGCATAACTCCCTTTTGCGCAGGAGTTCTTGTGCAAAAAGGCAAATGTGGATGCTCCAGAGGGGTTTCTTGCACCAGAAACCCCTATGGGAAAAAGCACAGGTGCTCTGATGGCCATCAGAGCTTTCTTGTGCAAGAGCGTCCATGCAGTGTGGACGCTCTCTTGCGCAAAAGCACATTGCAAAAACTCTTGCACAAAAGGCCTCTTGCACAAGAAGCATGTGGTGTAGATGTAGCTCTAGTGGGTGTGGTTTTGCAAGAGAGCGTCCATCCAGTGTGAATGCACTCTTGCAAAAAAGCATATTGTAGTGTGCAAAAACTCTTGCGCAAAAGGCTTCTTGCACAAGAAGCATGTAGTGTAGACATAGTCCTAGTGGGTGTGGTTCACTGTCCCATTAAGTGGCACTTTAACCTCTTACAGTGAGTGATAAGAATGAGTGAGCTCTACAGCCTAAGCTGACAACCAGCTGGCTTTATAGCTCAAGCTGTAGAGGCTCCCATACTAAGCTGCAGAGGTTCCAGGGTCAGATCTGTCTGCAGGTGGTTACAACTGCACACATCTTCCCTATAGTTTAATAGGCTGATCTAACAGACTTCTCTCACAAATAGATAATAATGGCATGTGGAGGGAAAAGGGAGCAAGAGGACAGCACCTAGTATGTAAGGGATAATGGGGATCTTGGTATGGGGTCTCACAGAACCCCTGCTGGAAGGAAAATTGGGAGGAAGGAGATATAGATGGCACACATCTATGGGTGGTAGGAGACATATAACCCCTGGTGAGGAAGACTGGGGGACTGTGGTATGAAAGGGAAGATAAGAATTGGGGCACAAAGCACCACTGGCATAATGGAAGTGGAAACATGTAGAAAATATGGAAATATGTTGAAAACAACATAGCATGAGAGAGAATAGAGGACCCTGGTATGGGAGGGGGAAAATGGGGACCACACAGGTACCCTTGGTTGGAGGGAGATTGGAGGGCTTTTGCTGGGAGGGCCTGACATAGAAAAGGACAGGAGAGCATCACACAAGGAACTTGTGGGTGGAATGGAGCCTGGTGCGTGCACTGACTTCAGCCAACAGAAGCAACAAATTGTGGAATTCCTTCATAGTATTTATCCATCTTAGCATTGTGTATAAATGCTTCCCATCTGAATATCTAAGCTCACAGGCTACATCTACACTGGCCCCTTTTCCGAAAGGGGCATGTTAATTTCACAGGTCGTAATAGGGAAATCCGCGGGGGATTTAAATATCCCCCGCGGCATTTAAATAAAAATGTCCGCCGCTTTTTTCCGGCTTTTAGAAAAGCCGGAAAAGAGCGTCTACACTGGCCCCGATCCGGCCCGATCCTCCGGAAAAAAGCCCTTTTCCGGAGGATCTCTACTTTGAAGTAGGAATAAGAGATCTTTCCGGAGGATCGGGGCCAGTGTAGACACTCTTTTCCGGCTTTTCTAAAAGCCGGAAAAAAGCGGCGGACATTTTTATTTAAATACCGCGGGGGATATTTAAATCCCCCGCGGATTTCCCTATTACGACCTGTGAAATTAACATGCCCCTTTCGGAAAAGGGGCCAGTGTAGACGAGCCCTTAGTGTTTGGAGCTCTGAATAGTCTATTTGGTTGTCCTTCAGAACAAACACCAGAAATCTCTTCCAAGCATAGATCGTTGTTTTCATATAGGCACAATTTGGTGTAAAGGAGATTGATTATATCTTTGTCTACTCTAAAGAAATTCATTATACGATTTGCAAATGTCAACAGCACTTATGTGTTAGCTCCATCAGAGGAAACATTATGTCTAATTTACAATCCATACAAAAAGCTTGAAGCAAAAGGAATTTGTCTCGCCAAGACATTTTAACAAAAGGAACAGGGCAGTCATGATGACTGGTACTGTGTGCACACAACCAGTTCCTGAGAGGGCTACATTTCTATCACTATTCTACATGCAAGTTCCTGAGAGGGATGCAGTTTGTGCATGACAGACTGCAGTCTTCCCCTTCAGAATGTAATATCCATCATTGTTTCCTCAGAGTCCTCCAGTCTTCCACAGCAGAGGTTGCATGTCCTCCATTCCTCCTCCCACTCATGGATGTGTGCCTTCTAGATGAGTTCTTGAATTTTCACTGACAACTTTTTCCCCTCAGCTTTGCATGCTTATGATCCCATCTTCAAGCAAATCACTCACTCTTCCAAAGTGCAGGTGAGCTGCTGCTTGAGTCACTTGAAAGAACTCAACTATGTGACTGTTCAGTTTTCTGCTCATTATTTAGTGAATGCACACTGAGAATTTTTATAAATCTTTTTATGGGGAATGGGCTCTTCCTTCTGAGCATATGGTTTTGAAATAGAAGTCTGTGTCATATCTTCCACAGGAGTTGGGAAGAAAACTTGGCCTTGAGAAACCAGTGGTTGTCCAGAGCATGTATATCTTTAAGGTACCGTAGCTGCAATCTCCCCAATCATTTACTCAAGAAAGAAGCCATTTTCATATTTTCAATTTTAAAATTCTCCTCTTCCTTCTATTTTTCTTCTTCCAGCAACCTGACATTGGTGGTGAAGGTAAAATTCATACTGCAACTGTACGAGGCTGTAGATATTATGTATCCATTACCGAGGTTTGGAGGAAGGAGATTCAAGTAGCAGGAGAGGTTGCACAAACTGGTCACTCAGTGAGATTTTTCAAAGCTGCATAAAGGTTTGGATGCCCAGTTCCCATTAGATATTACTGGTAGTGGGTATGAAAATTCCGCCCAGGATATCTTTCTATTTCTCTGTGGGCAGGCAAAGCACACAACTTTGAATGGTTACCCAGCCCCATGTGTTATGATTGCAATGGTGGCCAACTCTTGCAACACACTTGAGATTCCCAAAGAAGTAAAATGTCAGGGAGACAGGAAAGGTCAAATGATTGGGGGAATTTCCTAAATATATAGCACATTTCCTTGTCTTTAGAAATTACTGTAAACCAAAAGTAATTTCCATATAACCCTTAACTTGGAAGAAGTTATCCTTGCTGTACTCCCCCTAAAATAAATAGGACATGAGCTGAGAACCTGTTGGGAAGGGGATAGAATTAGTCTCACAATCTCCCACCCACAAATGATAGATATAGTCACCCATCCTATCCTCTAGGCCACTCCTGAGCCCACCCCACCTCCCTACCATTGGGATGTCCCTCATCCTGCCTTCCTGGTGCCTGATTCAGATCCATCCCGGGGTGACCGGTGCTGGCATGGGGTGGCCTGGGATTCCAGCACACCACCCGGTGCTCCTCAGGCAGATGCCCTATCCCCTAGGCCCCATCCCACCTTCCTACCTTGAGGACGTCCCTTATCCTGTCTTCCTAGTGCCTGATCCAGATCCATCCCCAGGGCGACTCGTGCTGGCGGGGGGTTCTGATGTTGGAGTCTGTTAGTGGAGGCTGGTGGTGATAGCATGCATGCAGCCAGTGACCATCTGCATCCCTGTGACTTGGCTGAAATGGAAGTCAGCGCAGTCAGGAGCATGCGTATTCACTGTTGTCACTTCTAGCAGGATTCATATGGCCAGAAAGCCCCAGAGATCTTCCTTTACTCTTAATTCAACAGTCTTTAAAAGGTAACCAAATGTCTGTTGGTTTCAGTGTTACCACACCAGGATGCCACATTTCTGTATACAGAGCCTCTGGGCAGGATTCTGGGCCTCTGGATAGCGCTGGAGGACACCACACGGGAAAACAGCTGTCTGTGGTTCATACCTGGCTCTCACACTAGTAAGATTCATATTCTGCCATACACCCTCATCTCCTGGTTATGGGTGGAAAATTGCACAGGTTTTACTGCAACTTCTGCAATGTACAGTGGTTACATGGCCACATCCAGCAAGTATAGACATCATCATGCTTGAGGGAACCATTGTTTAAAGCAATCTGGAGAAGTGGGTTGTGCCCACGAAAGCTCATGATGCCATCTACATGTTTTGTTAGTCTCTAACGAGCTGCAGGACTATTTGTTGTTTTTAAAGATCATTCCTTTTATGCTTTTAAGGGCAAAATTCATATCCCCTCTTTTAGCAGGCTGAGTGGCTCACTGACTCACTTCCTTTGCTGCTGGTCACTAGTTTAAGGATCTGTGATTTTTAATCCAAAAATATTCATGGAAATTAAAACTTGACATTGTTTGACACCAAATGCCCAAATGTAATGCTGTACTATACCCATGCAATCTGAGTAAAGCATGGAGACAGTGGTGCCCAGAATCTTATTAAATATTTATTAAATCCAGATTTGTAAAATTAGGATCCACTGCCAGTGTTCCTGAAATCCTTTCAATTTAGTATTACTAAGTAACTTCCTTCAGCGAGTATCTGACCCTTCCTTATTCAACAAGATTTCAGCTCTTCACAACTACTCTGGGATCCTTCCAAAGAGTGTCTTTTTGCATGCTACAGACCCTTGCTATATTCCAAAACTCCCTTAAGATGAGCTGCAGCTCACCTGAATAAGTGGGTTTTGCCCACGAAAGCTCATGATACTATCTATATATTTTTGTTAGTCTCTGAGGTGTCATAGGATTACTCGTTATTTTTAAAGTTACAGACTAACACGGCTACCCCTCTGAGACTTTATATTATTTTAGACACACCCATCACCCTCTAGCTTAACACAGATACCATTCACCTTTTCTGTTGTCATGGATCAAGACTTAAGAATACTGTTACCCCACCTCGTTTTGTGTAAGGAAGAATAAAAACCTTCCACTTAGCCACACAACACCGGTCTCAAATGTTCAGCAATCATGCAAAACAAGAATGAATTGGATAGAATCCAAAAGATCAGAGAGCAATCAGTCGTCTATGGCCACACATAGATCAGACCGAATAAAAATAATCTCTGCATATCTTCTCTCTGTCAACAGACAGAAGCTCCCACAAGCTTCTAGCTAGTGGTTCATGTTTTACACTCAGTATATTTTATATACATCTAGCATGTGAACTAATTAGCTCCAAGAGCACTGTTTATCATTTCATCTCAAACTTTAATGATCCAGTAGGAATATCTTCAGGTCTCTCTTAAGCATGCAAGCAATAGTCTTCCCTGTGAAATCATACAGCTTTGCACTTTATTGTAAATACAATTTGTGCCTAAGCTCAACATAAGGTTCTGTAATTGCAGTTAAACTTCTACAATGTTATGGAAAGGAAAATGGTGCCAAAGATGCATTTCACCGAAATGGAGGACTCTGCTCAGAAAGAATTGCACGTTCTTGCAGATAGGGATAGCACGTTGTCAAGGTGTCAGGACAAAGATGGGAAAGCAGACAAAAGACAGCAATGTCATTTTTACATCACAAGATAAACCAAACTGTAAGCCTTTCCCAATGTAAAGAGAAAATGAGCAAGGAAAGAATTATCATTAATGAAATGGAGGGTATATATAATGTAATGAGGGGTTTAAGTTTTCCAGTCAGTGCACAGTGTAGAGACTATGATTACAGAAGCTAATCAAAAAGTGTTGGTAGCTAATAGTATTTTGTTGATATTACACATTTTATAGGGTCTGCTAACTGAATATGCTCTCCCAGAATGTTCTGTACCAAAATATATATTAAAAAGGTGTCGGGGTAGCTGTGTTAGTCTGTAACTTTAAAAACAACAAATAGTCCTGTGGTACCTTATGATAGTATATATATTTTTGTTAATCTCTATAAACTTTCGTGGGCAAAAGCTCATGATACTTTTTTATCTACAAGTAGTTCTGTGACACCTTAGAGATTTTTTTTATATATATATGCTGTGTCTAGACTGGCAAGTTTTTCTGCAAAAGCAAGTGCTTTTGCGGAAAAACTTGCCAGCTGTCTACACTGGCCGCTTGAATTTCCGCAAGAACACTGACTTCCTACTGTCTGAAATCAGTGCTTCTTGTGGTAATACTATGCTGCTCCTGTTCGGGCAAAAGTCCTTTTGCACAAAGCTTTTGCGTAAAAGGGCCAGTGTAGACAGCTTAGATTTGTTTTGCACAAAAAAGCCCTGATAGCGAAAATGGCGATCGGGTTTTTTTTTTGCGGAAAAGCGCATCTAGATTGGCACAGACGCTTTTCCGCAAAAAGTGCTTTTGCGGAAAAGTGTCCGTGCCAATCTAGATGCTCTTTTCCGCAAATGCTTTTAACGGAAAACTTTTCCGTTAAAAGCATTTGCGGAAAATCATGCCAGTCTAGATGTAGCCATATAGTATACCAGCTTTTATTCTGTTGCATGCAGAAATTAAGCACAAAATAATGCTGAGCTGTGTTATGCTGAGCTTTGTTAAAGTAATAAGCAACTATTATAATTGATGCAAGACTGTTAAACTAATTGGGTACAGGTGCCCTAGAACCTCAGACAGTAGGTTCAAAATTCTTAGGTAAGGAAAAGTAGGGTTCATTATGAAGTAAAGGCATTTGGAGAGTTTCCGGTGTATGAGAAACAGAGTATAAATATAATGAGAAGTGAGTTAATGTTTTGGATAGAGTGAAGAAGTCCTTTCCGCAAAGCATGATTTTCTTTGATTATTAAACTTGATCAAGCTTTTGATATTTTATGGATTACATAGTCTAAAATTGTATCTTAACACACGGATTGATTTACTTTAATTATTAAGTTTGTTTTAAAAAGTTTTGTCTACTATGGGATTGCAGCTGGCATCACGCGTAGAATGATCCGAACCCCACCAGGCACCATACCATGCACCCAGTTCATCGGCTCTGAGAGGACTTATCAACATAACCAGTTTATTCCTGTCCCTGTCCACAAAGGTAAAGATTCAGTTGTAGAACCAATGAAAATGCAAGAACGAGACATTCAGTGACACATGTTCAAGTTTAAACCACAGACCCAGAAGGAACTCAATGATGTATTGCCAGTATAGGCCTGAAGCCCCAGTTTCTGCCAAAGGGGAACTGAAGAGTCCAAAATGGAAGAAATGGATCTTGTAGATCAGAACAAAAGCAACAGCATGATACACTCCTAGAATCTTCCCAAATAAATTCTTACCATAGAATTGGGATTTCCCGAATTTGACTTTTGTCTCAAGCTCTCATTGTTGTGACAAACCTTTCAGAGACAGTACCAGCTCCTTTTGTATGGAACGAAGGAAGGAGACATTCAAAAAGAAAGATGTGTGTTTATTTCAAACAGGTGGTCTCGTTCTTATCCATGGAGAAGTTGTTCATAAGAGTGAGTTGAACAGCTCAAAGAGGTCTCGCCACGTGTATACGTTCCATCTGATGGAGGCCAAAGATACCAGCTGGAGCAAAGAGAACTGGTATAAACAGACCCTTTAGTCGGAACCCCCCCCTCAAAAACTGTAAAGTTGAGGTTTTAAAAGCTGTAACTATTTAAGTAGCATTTTTTTCACCCAACAATCCTCATGGTTATCATCCCATTTTTGTGTTACACCTACAAGGCAATATACACAGCTAGGTTCCCTCTACATAGCTCAGAATGATGCTAGCTTCAGTTTTGTTTGAACACATCAATAGCAGTTTCCAAGGATGATCTCCCTGGCTTGTGTAGCCATGGATTGTTTTTCCACTAGCCATATTATAATAGGGCTGTAAGATCCTCCAGCAAAGAGCCTTACACCCATTCATTAAACTCGTAACACTTCCCCAAGGAAGATAAATACTATATGGCTGTGTCTAGACTGGCAAGTTTTTTTTGCGGAAAAACTTGCCAGCTGTCTACACTGGCCGCTTCAACTTCTGGAAAAGCACTGACGATCTCATGTAAAATCATCAGTGCTTTTCCGGAAATACTATGCTGCTCCCGTTTGGGCAAAAGCCTTTTTCCGAAAGACTTTTGCGCAAAAGGGCCAGTGTGGACAGCATAATACTGTTTTCCGCAAAAAAGCCCCGATCGCGAAAATGGCAATCGGGGCTTTTTTGTGGAAAACCGCGTCTAGATTGGCCACGGACACTTTTCCGCAAAAAGTGCTTTTGCAGAAAAGCACCCTGCCAGTCTATAGACGCGATTTTTCCGAAAATGCTTTTAACGGAAAACTTTTCCGTTACAAGCATTTTCGGAAAATCATGCCAGTGTAGACGTAGCCTATCTGTATTGATTGTGAAATTCTGTACTGTCACAGAACAGAATCAGCTTGATTCCTGCCACATACAGAGACTGCCTCTTTGTATAAGACCCCTCAGTAAGGAGGTTACAGAATGACAGGCAGTGGTCCGGAGGCCAGCATGGGAGAATAACCCCTTTTAAGAAAGTAGCATAAACAATGAAGAGTATGATCCTCCTAGCCTGAATGATAGCTTTCCTAACTATTCTCAAGCTGAATATCACATTGATGGGAGCAGTAAAATGCATACATTTAACAGAGGTGAAATGGCTTATTCAGGGTCATACATGACCTGTTAGCACAGCTGGTAATAGAACTGGTCACAAAACCCATTCTCCTTACAGAAGTATGCAACTTATGTCTGAAGCACAGAGTTAGACTAGAAGTAATAAAGTGCACTGGGAAAGAGGGAATAGCTTCTTAGTAGAGAAAGGGATGCAGGTGGAAAACCAAGATGTGAATCTCTGCTTTGAGATGTTAAGAGTACAGATGTTAAATTTAGATTAACTAATCGAATATTTGATGGCATTTCCATCGACTATTCAATTGATGGATAAGGGCACCTCTGACTTTGAAACATAGCAAGAGGCCTGCTTGCTTTCAAAAGCGGAAGCCCCGCATGGACCACCCCCAGGACTTGTTTCAAAAGCAGAATCACAGCAGAACCAGTGCGAGCAGAGACTGCTTCATTCGCCGCTCACGTAGTTTCCCGCTGTGCCTCTACCTCCCCTGTACCCCGTGGAGATGGTGCTGGGGGGAACCGGCTTTTAAGCTGGCTCCCCCCGCCCTTGCTACCTCTCTCTGATGGTATGTCTACACAGCAGTTTTTTCTGAAAAATGGCCATTTTTGCAGAAAATAACCTTCACTTTCGTCCACACTGCAATCACATTTTCAAAAAAAAAAAAAAAAAATCGAAAGAACAGAGGGGTTTGTCCAACACTGGTAAACCTTTCTATAAGGAAGAAGCCTTTTTGTGAAAGAACTCTTTCGGAAAAAGGCGTATGTGGACGGGGAAGAGTTTAAATGCCGCGGGGGATATTTAAATCCCCCGCAGATTTCCCTATTACGACCTGTGAAATTAGCATGCCCCTTTCGGAAAAGGGGCCAGTGTAGACGTAGCCCTTGAGTGCTCTCTTTCAAAAAAGTAGCTTGCTTTTTCGATGCGCTTTTGCTGTGTAGACATTCTCTTGCAGAAGAAGTTTTTTGGAAGATCTCTTCCAAAATAACTTTTTTCAAAAGAAGTTTGAAGTGTAGATGTAGCCAGATAGAGGCAAGGAGGAAGAGAGGGGAAGTGACTAGTTGCATCACTAGTTGACTGATAAGCTTATGCTTATCAGATAGTCAATTAGTCACTCACATCCCTAGTTAGAGTTTTTTAGGGGTTCCTTTCCTTAACAAGAAAAGGGACATATTGGATTGGGTTTTGGGAAGGCTTCTCATCAGAACTGTTTGTTTCCACATCAGTGGTACTCAAGTTAGAATTGATTCTGTGTCAGGTAGATCAGTGGGTGGTTCTGCAGTTCTGTTTTTACTGTTTTTTCCTCTTCCTTTCAGGCTCCAGCCAACTCCTGAATTGCCTTTCCCACCACTCTACCCTGAAGCTGACAATTGGCCATTGGAGCTAAATGGTTGATCAGTGAGTGGACTCCGTTCATGTTTCTCAGCCATCTACTTTGTCTCTTCAGATATAACCTTCCCCACAATTCATATATTCTCTGCCCAGCACAAGTAGCTTGAGTCTATGTGCATGACACCCATCCAGCATTGGCCTTATGCAGAGCATCTGTACCACAGCATGTGTCAAGAAGCTACTCTAAGACTCACTGACAGACACCTCCTTTTCCAGATAGAGAAAAATATTGAGATTTTGAGTTATACAATCAAAGTCAGGAAAAAAAAGTTTCTGCTGTGTTTATTCCATCTCTGCTGTATAATCTGTGGGTGTACAAAGTCTTTTGAAAGTGATGTAGGAGGCTTTTGTTGTCACAAAGGTTAAAACCCATCCTGCTACAACAGCTGTAGATTAAAAAGAAAATCTTAGACTGGGCACACAAAGCAGGCTGCCTGGAGCAGAGGGAAGGCTGTGGAGGCTGCCCCTGGCTTGCAGCGCTCCGCCCTCCCAACAGCCAGTAGACTGTGTGGAAGCCGAGGCTCTGGGGGCTGCTCTCTCCTCCCGTGGCTCCCACACCACAGCATGCTGTCTGTCTTGGGGTGGAGCCAGAGTCTGGGGGCTCGCCCCATCCCCCAACCGCAGCCTGTCCAGAGAAGAGGCCAGGCTCTGGGGGCTGCCCCCTCCTACAGCAACTCCCCTCGCCACTTGCAGGTGGTCTGGAGGGTGGAGAGACCAGGCTCCAGCAGCACCCCCTGGCCTGCAGGCTCTCTATGCAGGGGAGGCAGGTGCCGGGTTTGTAGCAGGGGGCCTCCTTACCTGGTCTGGTGGCAGGCAAGATGGCAGAGCTACAGTCCTGCTGGCCACTCTCGATGCTGCAGCTGCCCCCAGTGGCCACTGAGTATTGTGTCCCTCCTCTTTGTGCCCCTCCTTTTTGCATCGCTTCTCTGCTCCCTTCCTTTCCATAGTATGGAGAAGAGTCCCATTCCTGTCACTTCCCATTTTCCACACACAGCCAAACCCTGACTTTGGTTTAAGTTAGGATAGGAGGAAGCTGCGTACCAAATTTGATGGCTCTAGCTCTTACAGTTTAGAGGGATTTCTTGAACAAATGGACTCACACAGAGGCACCGTGGGGGAGACACATTGAAGTGGGGGCAGGGCCAGGCTGGCTGTTTGAGAAGACATTGCCTTCTCCTACCTTAGATACCCACCACCCACGACATCAAGTGACAGCCACAGGGGGGATTCTGTGACCAAACCCGTCACATGTAAAGTACCGTAAATTAGCGCATATAACACACGCACGAGTATTACTCGCACCTGAGTATAACCCGTGGTTTTCCCCAATAGAGTAAAAAGTCTTGTATATCCTGCACACATGTATAGCCCACGGGAGATGGACGGCGGGTAATGTTAATGCAAAGCACCTATAATCAAGTGTTAATGAGCCACTAAGTAGGCTACAACCCTTATCGCTGGTATATAACCCATTTGAACCACATCGCTTTTCCATTCATTTATTTCTTCAGTTTTAACTTGTATTTTAAACTTTTATTCTTTTACTAGTTGCACAGTAAACTAATGAATTAAAATATGCTGCTTTTCTCAAGTAAGAGTCAGTCTTCTCTTCCTTTCAGTAAAAAAAAACCCCTGTATTACACATGGAAAAGTATAGCCCGCGGGGGAGAGTATGTAAAACTTTGTATAACCTGCAAGTTATATTCACTAAAGTACAGTAAGTTTTGTTCAATATAATATAAAAAAAAACTCAAGAACATGGGAAAGATATAATTTAGTTTAGTCCAAAGAATTGGCAAATAAATCAAAATTTTAACCACAAAGGCTATTGCTTTCACCCTGCAAGCCCATCTATCCATGCTCCTCCAATAAACCAAGTTTGACACTATTTGAAATTATCTTAAACAGAATAAGCATTAGTGTTGTTTCATACAACCTGATCCTATGGTGCAGGTGGTGCACACCCTCACTGCAACAGCATGCGTTTATTGAAAGAGGCAGAATTCAAATGTGCAAGAATACAAGCCAGTAGGACTCAACCTAGTGGCAAGCCAGTACAGTGCACAAGCTTTGTAGGAGCCTGCGCTGGTGAGCAGAGAGACAAGGTTGGTGAGGTAATATTTACTGGACCCACTTTTGGTTGGGGAGACAGAGACAAGCTTTAGACCTACATAGCGCTCTTCTTGAGATCCCATTCAGGTTACAAGAAAACGAGCTCTGCTTAGCTTGAAAGCTTCTCTCTTACCAACAGAAGATGGTTCAATAAATGATATTACTTCATCCACCTTGTCTCTCTAATACCTTTGGATTACTATGGCTATAACAAATACTGCATACAACTACTGAACTGTGTCTATTTCAAACTTTTAAGGTAACAAAACCATCTGTTCCCTTGTAGTGAACTCACCTTCCCACCTCTTCTACTTCAGTGCATCTAGGAAGAGACTTGGAAATGACATCACTATGACTGTATATCTAATTCAGCATTATCCACTATATGAATCACGGTATCACGTAGATATTCTCCTATTACTCCTCTGAGAGGATGCAATGATTAATGCTGCTTTAGCTATTAAATAATAAAAAACAAACAGAAGCCTTTACTTTTATTATAAATTATGAGTTGAAGAGCTATTCTACTTGGCTGTACCAAAAATAGCATTCCATACCAAACTGGCTCTACTGAGCTCTCAGCAGGGATGCATGGCTCATTACCACCATTAGCTAGAAGGGAAGTCTCTGTTCCTGGCAATGTGTCTAAGCCATGAGCAGTATCTGGAGGTAGAGAGGTAGGAGCAAATTGTCTATTTGGGTAGTGTAGGCTTCCAAAAGGGAAACTAAGCTGATGGATCCCAAAATCCAAGCATAGCTGGTATTCAGGTTCACTCTGCCATCAAAGATCAGAAGAAGAGCCACAGCAATAATCTGAGCAAAGATGGCAGTCATTGTCCCTTCAAATGTCTTCTTTGTCCCGGGCCATTTGATTTCCCCTATTGTACTGCCAAAAACTGAAGCTATTGTATCTCCCACCCCTACAGCCAATACTCCAGCATAGGGAACTAAGGCTCCTGCCCCAGCCAGGGTACCCTTGGGTGCACAAGGCCTGGGGAACAACCACACTGGAAGGGACATCCCAAGAAGTAGGTAAATGTGAGTCAAGATCAGAGGACCACTATCTCGTTCATCCAAAAAGAGAGTGAGCAAATGCCTAAGTGTTTGTCCAAATGGTTTGATCCTGAAGTATCGTATGTACTCTAAGAGGATAAACACTACCAAACACAGCACTGCAGCAATGTAGAGAAGTTGGTGGTCATAAATTAGCCCAGGGGTATAAGTAGCTACCACGATGAAGTGGAAGTATTTTCTGGTTATGGTTGAAGCTTGGTGCTTTTTAGATTCAGATGATCTTTTTGAATTCTGGTAGAGAACCACCATGCACGCAGAGGCAGCCAACAAGGTCCAATACACAAGGAGGTAAACTCTTGTTTGTGTCTGAATCAGAAACTGGAGGAGCCAGAGCAAGGGATTTCTTCGGATCAGATGATAAAGCCAAGGCATGAGGACCCCCAGTCCCAGCACTGCTGTCATCATGTGGAAAAACATGGAGGAGGTCCAGGTGCCTGAATCCATGAAACAGAAGAGAGCAGTGAAGAAAATCCCAAGAAGGACCACTCCAGCCACTGCCACTAGGAGGACAAAATCGACAGGATCCCCTCTGCCCTCTATCACATTCAGAGAACGTTTAATGAGCTGGTTGAGGATGAAACTTATACCCCCAAGAACTAGTAATGCTTCTCCAGGAGTAAAACATCGAGGTAAGAGATAGAGCAAGATCATACTGAGGTAGACAAAAATAAGCAGCACTTCCAGAACCTCTATCACTTCAGAAACAGTTAAAGAATATTTCATGATATAGAGTATTATAGTGCCAGCAATGCCTGAAAGGATGCAGGTGTTAGTTGGCACAGGTCTCGTGATGCCAACTGCTATTACAGATAGGAAAAGGGCTAACACCATACCCGTAGAGGCCACAACTATGCCAAAACGTTCAAAGTACACAATGCCGACAGCCTTGCATCTCTCCTTCATCACAATCCCTAGGAGTGGGATGACCATACTAGCTGGTAGGAGGCCACTGTTAGCTGTTGTTCGAAACTGGAATACGGCCCCACCTAGTTGGAGTAGACGATCCCATTTAAATTGGACGTAAAAAGCTTGAATGGCAAGAGCAATAGCACACCAGGAATACCGGTCCCAAACTACTGTGTGCACACACAGCACAATAATGAACACAATCAGAGATTCCAAAAGCAATGCTTTGTTTAACATGGTTCCAGTCAGCTTCATCCTATGATTTCAGAATCTTTACAACTGTCAGATCCCAAAATTTTCAATATAGTCCTTTCCTTGGTCCATCAGTAAAAGTTCACTTCATTCCACTGCAATGCCTATAAAAATAAACAAATAAAATTAAAAAAAGACTACTTGAACAGCTGAGGCTCCCTCCTCATTATTTTCTTAAGCGCAGTTGAAAGCTTTAATTCCTCTGATGGGAAAAATAAAATCAAGACCAAAATAAATCAACCAACATTTTTTACTGCTTTCAAGAATCAGAAAACTCAGCTTGCGATGCCACAAGTAAAATCTTACAGTATTTTTATTTACATGCAAATACAAAATACTTCTATTGCAGTGCAAGGTTTTTCCCCTCTCCTAAAAGTATGGAAGGGAATGCTTTATATTTTGCAATGAGTGTGTAAGTAGCAGTACTCACAAGAACTGCATTGGAAAAGGCACTTAGACTAGGGATGCTAAATTTGGATTAATTAGCTAATTGATTAGTCGATAAGCACTAGCAGCTTTTCGCCTTGTGCATTCCAAATATTGAAATGCAGCATGGAGCCCGGGGCCAGTGGGGAGTCCCGCTAGATGTACTGGAGCTCCAGCCCTCTCCCACAGAGCTGGAGGGAACCGGCTTTTAAACCGGCACCCCCCCAACACCTCCTCCTCTTTCTGTCCTTGCTGCCTCTTTGTGATAGAGCAGGGGTGGGCAATAATTATTGGCCAGGGGCCCACTGCTTCCACTTAAAACATTTTTTAATTGCCCCCAGGTCATCCCAGACGGGGAGGGGCCAGGATGCTTCTCGGCTTCCCCACCCATAGACATGATTGGTCTGGGAGAGGGAACCCTTTCCTCCCCCTTCCCACTAGGCACCCATGCCCCTGGCAGGATGGGAAGAGGCTTTGTACGCTTCCTCACCCCCAGGCCAATCACGGCCTGTAAAGTGCTACAGTCTATAAAGTGCTACCAGACCATTTGTTGTTTTTTAAGTTTATTTATGTAAATATACAGAATGTGACTTTAAAGTGCCACATGCTCCTCGCAGGGCGGGTGGAGGCTTCGCACTCTCTCCCCCCAGGCCAATCACGGCCTGGGGGTGGGGGAGTGTGCAAAGCCTCCTCCTGCCCTGCGAGAAGCGAGTGGCACTTTGAAGTGCTGTGTTCCTCGCAGGGCCAGGCGAAGGAAACTTTGCGCAGTTCCCCCGCGGGAAGAGTGTGCGAAGCCTCCTCCCAACCTGTGAGGAGCATGTGGCACTTTAAAGTCAGATTCTGTATATTTACATCAATAAACTTAAAAAACAACAAATGGTCTGGTAGCACTTTATAGACTAACAAAACATGTAGATGGTATCATGAGCTTTCATGGACACAGCTCACTTCTTCGGTCACCTGAAGATGTGGGCTCTGCCCACAAAAGCTCATGATACCATCTACATGTTTTGTTAGTCTATAAAGTGCTACCAGACCATTTGTTGTTTTTTAAGTTTATCCTGTACAGATTAACTCAGCTACCCCCTGAAGCTTGTGTTTATTTAGTCACATTCTGTATATTTAGTCACATTTAGCCTTCCCTATCCATTTTACAGCTTCAGCTGGGCATTCTCTTCTGCACATATCAGTGTCATTATTAAAAAAAATCCCAAAGTTTTTTTATGTCATTATTAACATACATGCATTTTCCATCCAAAACTTAAGAAATGTTATTCATAACCCACAGCTGATACCTTTAAGAGACCCATTTGTGTTTGATGAACCCCTTATCTTTTTCTGTGTTTAAGTCTATTCAGGCTCCCAACATGGGAACCACATTATACTTATCTACTTATATAAAGGCTGTAATTTTTTTTTTCAGTGAAAGGATTTATTTCTTCATATCATTAATTTTAGGCAATCTGTACTTTCTCAGAAACTAAGTGAGCCACAAACTATCTAGACGTCAGGGAGAAGCCTCAGCTCAGGGCCCCCAAACTTTTTGACACAGGAACCAGTAAATCCATTCACAAGCTTTTGGAGGACCAGTATGCTTCATTTGCATATTTGCATATTCTTTAAGCAAATGATGAATATTCAAATAACTTGTTTCTGGTCCTCCCAAAACCCCCAGTGCCAGCTTTAGCAAAGCTTTTGATATGGTCACCCACAATATTCTTGCCAGCAAGTTAAAGGAATATGGATTGGATAAATGGACTGTAAGATGGATAGAAAGCTGGCTAGACCAGGGTTTCCCAAACTTTTTACTTTAGTTGGAACCCGTTTTTTTTAGTACTGTTTTTTGCAGCCCAAAAATAGAAACACATATTTAAAAAAGAATTAAAAATGAATAAATGTTCAGTGTTTCACCAGGCTGCATCCTCCACCCAGCCTGGGCCAGAGCTTGGGGGACCTGGTGCCACATGGGCACTCCTGGAGGCGGGAGCAGGAGAAGATTGGGGGTAGGGTATCTGGCTAGGGGGGGTAGGGTTGTCAGGTGTCCGGTTTTGTACCGGACAGTCTGGTATTTTCTAATTAGGTAAGTTTTATTATTACTGAGGTTTATCAGTCTGTAGCTGCGAACTGCCTGGTTGGTAGATGTGCTCACGCTGCCTGAGCGTGTCTACCAGCCAAGCAGTTCGCAACTACTCAAGGGAGGGTATGGGGGACAAAATGGAATCCCTGGGGCCAGACTCATTTGTGTAGCTTGGTCTGCATGTGCCCGGGTCAGTCCCGCCTCCCCCTTCTCCTCCCGATCTCC